TGTTCACAGAGATTTATTCCGTTTGATAAAGTTCACCTTATTCTCTGCCACTGAAAATAATATTAAATAAAATTGTTGAAATCAGTCAAGCTAAATAAAGTTTTTATTTGAAAGGTAAATTAGAGAACTTATATATCAGGGAAAACCACGGAAACTGACATACAGTCAGCCTGTCATACTCACCGGGATTTGAACCTGGGTCAAACTACCAAATGTTTATGACTTTACCGCGTGGTCGTTGGTGAACTGAAGAGCTTTGGAAATTACTCTAACAAGATGCTATGTGATGAACACTATATTAAAGAAAATAGATGTTATGATACTAATAAACGCAAAAGTGTGTTGAATTATAGATTTATATGCTTGGTAAATAAAAAATGTTTTCACCGTTAATTTCTAGCAACCGGGCTCTCACAATAAAAAAAAAACCCATTATTTAAGAGGCACATTATATAATTATTGTAGACTATTAAATACATAAAGAAAGAAATTTAGAACCCATTTTTCACTAAGCCCAAAAAATTAAATATTCCTATATATTTTTTAATCTTAACATTCACCCGAAAATTTTCTCCACCCAAAAGCAAGAAAAACGGCAAAATTACGAAGTTTCATTAATGAAATTTTTTCAAATTAAAATGTATTTTCATAAAAATGAAAATTACTTTCAACATCTGTACACGTTTCTACCACTCAAAAAAATTTACGAAAGTCTTCTAAAGCTAACCACATTCTTTTCTGAAATACTTACTAGTCTGAATATTCAAAAATTAAAGAATCACTACATTTCACGTTCTGCAATAACTATGTCAAACATTCAAAATTTCTTTTCCTGCAAAGACATGGTATTCCAATGGGAAGTTCCTATTACACTCCTCTTTGTAACTTATTTTTATTTTCTAAAGAATTTAAGTTTCTTAAAAGCCTTTCTGATAATGACTTCAGTAAATCTGAACGCACTTTCAGATATATTGATGACATTATTATACTTTCAACAATTATAGTCTCATAGAAAATTGCAAAGGCTACCCCGATTGTCTAAAACTTAATAAGACCAATAATAATCTAACAGTAATAAGACTATGGGAATCTTAGTATGCATAATCTTAAAGGAATTAGACTTTTTGATAAAGGAAGAGAATTTAATTTTTATACAATTAAACTCATAAATTGGAACTCTAACATATCTAAAAAAGTTATAGCAAATACAGTTATTAACCAGATTTGCAGAATTAAAAAAGCTTGTTCTGAAATAGAAAAACGACAAGGAGAAATCTTAATTATCACAAGAATTTTAAAAGAAAATGAAATTCTAATTAAGTTCATTAAAAGTCTTTTAAAAATCTGGTGTAGTCTACACCCTATAAAACTTTATAGAAGTATGAATTTTTTATCTGAAAGCTCCAATTAGAAGGATGTTTTAGAAAGTTATATAGGCTTAATTTTGATTTATTTTTCTTTTAGTTTCTTTGCCGTGTTGTCATTAACCATGAGGCCTCCTATTTTCAAGTCGTCATGATAAGCCCATGACCTGAAGACTTTTTCACTTTTCTAACATTTGTTCTTTACTTCCTTTTCTTTCTTTCCTTTGCATTTTTCCTAAGGCTAAATTTGTAATTAAAAAAAAAATACATAAATTGTATTTAAATTTTTTTTTCTAAATAGCATTAAATTCACCATTTGAAATTTCTAGGCACTCTTTATATTAGTTTTCAAAATGGGGGGGGGGGAACTGACTAGCATTTCAGTGTCTGGCAATTTTTATTTGAAAATATATTAAATGCCTTTTTCTGTTTTATTTATTCTATTTCTTCTTTTTTATTGCATTTTTTTCAACTTTTTAATTTAATAAATTAAAAATTGGGAAATTTGGGTTTTAGTTTGGAAGTATTTAATATTTTTTTTTAATTGGGAATAATTCTTTATCCTCTGTTAAGTTTACATTTCAGCCTGTCAGTATTATTTTGAATTAAAGTTAGATTCAAAATTCTTTGCTTAGTAGCATTAATTTCACCTTTTGGGAGATGGCTTTCTCGACTACGGTTTAGTTTCGCCAAAGAGGCCAAACTGGCAACCCTGAGCGTCTCAGAGTCTATCGGTTATTTTCGTTGTTTCGAACTGATGTTAGAAAGGAAACTCTCACAAAGTTTTGTGTTAATTTTTTTTTATTATTATTATTCATTGTGGATTATTCTGTTTTAAAGAATTTTTTCATTGAAAAGCTTTAATTTTGATAGTATTATGAGGGAGTTTTCATTCGGGAGTTCATTTTAAATTTGAAACAATTTTCATTAATAATTTTACTTCGTATTTTCGTCATTTTTCTTGCTTTCGGGAGGACCTGAATTTTCAGGTAAACTGTTAAGATTAAAAAATGTATAGAAATAGTTCATCAGCTAATTCTGGATACGGAAAAGCAAGAATTTTCGTATGGAAGAGGAATTGTAATTAATTGCAGCGTATCCTCCTTCTGACGACGTTATATTGGAGTTGATTGGATTCCGCTTCTTTCATGTTCTTCTTTTTACTTTTTTATTTTTTTTTGGGAGGGGGGTTCTTGTGCTGGTTTAATTTTCTTTTAACATCTACGTTATTCTAATTTTACATCTATAGGATTTTTTTAAACTTTTTTTAAAATTTATTTTCTGGTCTTTGTAAAAAATTGGTTCTAAATTTCTTTCTTGATGTATTACTGATCAATTTACTTAATGCGCGAAAATTCTTGGAGTAATTACATTTTTTATTTATAAAAAAATTGTTTGTATTTATGTATTATCATAGATTATACATCCAATAAACTCAAGTCGCTTACAATTAAGCAAGTTGAATTAAATGTATGAAAATTTTTAAATTATTTTTTTACTGAAAAATTTATGTTTTATTTAAAATAATTCTGCTTTAGTCACAGATTTCAGGCTCTGATTAGACACATTTTTAATAATTTTTTTCTTTGAATTTTTTTCAAACTAAGTGTAAGTGCTTCCAAAGTGCTTTCTTTAGACCAACGTTTCTCAACCTTGTGACTAACGCGTACCATCTAAACGAAAACTGAAAAAGTTTAGTACCACCACTACATTTTACAATGATTACTTTTCAGTTTCTCAATACACGTACAATATATATATATATATATGTGTGTGTGTGTGTGTGTGTGTGTGTGTGTGTGTGTGTGAGTGTGTGTGTGTTACAACATTTCGTGGAGCTACAGCTCCTGGTAACTTTTGAGCAAGGTTGCTACAATATTCCTACCTACTACTATTTTTTCAAATCTTTTTGCAGCATTATGCGCAAAAGTTCTTGAGACCAGATAGGTCTTTCGTCTAATTACCAGTTCGCTTTACATTTTCTTTTTCAATTATATTTATATATATAATATTTTGCTATTTTCAAAACCTATAGATTATTTGTATTAAATATGCACGCATTAAAAAAATATTATTAAAAATTGATTACCATTTTAATTATCAAAATTTAAGTTTAAATACTTTAATTTTAAAATTTAGTGCGAAATTTGTGAATGTGCGAAATTTGGAGCGATCTATTTATTTATGTCAGGTTTTAATTTCGCTTAGCTTTAACCGTAAATTATCCACTTTTAATTTTGTTTGGTATTTATTTTTCGAGTATAACAGGGAAGAAAATTCTTGTTCACACAAATAGGTTGTGTCAAAAGGCAATAAAAATTTGATAGCTTTATTTGAAATGCCTTTAAATTAATTTTTTTCGGTTCACCCGAAACTTAACAAGCGTGTTATTTTTTAAATCTCCAGTTAGAATTCGGTCACAGCAAATTTTTATGAATTGGTCTTTTTCTTCAGGAGATTTTTTAATTTAATTGTTAAAAATACTTTGTTTCCTATTTTTCTCTTGCGTACCACCGGTGCCGTTAAAATATTATCAAAATCTAAATAAATGTACATGCATTTTTCGAGTGTTAGGAAAAGAGGAAAATGATCTTCTAACAATGGTAAAAGAGATTGCATGGAGGAAAAAAAATTGAGAACTACTGCCGTATACTTTTCCCAAATTCTATGCTTTTTATTAAGTTTTACTAATGGTTTCCTTGCTATACTTCTTCAAATACGGTTTTTTGAAGTAGTTGATTTAGAGATTTTTCTGATCTCTTGACCTTCTGTATTTTTTGCATACTTTTTTTCCAAGGGGCAGTGGTTCCTCTGAGGCTGTTAAGTTGAAGAAATCTAATATCGTTTTAAACGAGTTTCGGGCGTCCATTTCTTTTTTCTATTTGAAAGCTATCGAGTTTCCTCTCTTTCGAAAGTTTGTTTAAAGGCATTTGATGAACCTGCGTATGGGTTACAGTCTTTCGCACTGTTCATCAAGAATATATCAAAGCTTTTCTTGTGTATTTCTTCTCAATAGGCAATTATAATAAATTTGGCCCTAGAAATACTTCAAAAATTAGGAAAGAAAATTTGCGTGCTTTAAAATTTTTATATTTAGCTTAAATTCCGACCCCCAAAAAAATGAAAATTTGAGAAGAAAATCAAAGGAAATATTTAGTTTCTTAACACATTTTAATGCCCCAAAAGCGGAACGGAGAACAAACATTCATAATTACGGATAGGAAACTTTATCCCCCCCCCCGAAATAGTCTGACTCTGGTTCGTTAAGCATTGATTCTGAACTCATCGATTATTTAGCCTTCTTATCACCAGGAATATTGATGAGACGGCTAAGTGACTGAGGAAATTAGTAAAGAGAGGAAACAAAAGGCCTTCTGTCAAACTGCTTTGCAAGGTATTTTGAGTTTTTTCCTCTGTGCTGCTCTAGGCAATTCATTTAGCAGAATATTTTGTATCAACTAAAAAGCTAATACAAGTAAATTTCATTCAGTACAGTGCAGTTTTATAATGAACTATTTGTTATGTGATATTTAAAATTATGTTCAAAAATTTCTTTTATGTGTTTAGTATGACTTATAAATGCACTTTTTTAATGTTTGATAAAGCTCTCTCTTCACACTATTTTATCAATTACAGGTTATGTGAACTATAGTGCAAATAATATTCAAAGTATGGGAAATATGCAAGGTAAGACACATTTCTGCTTTTTCCTTTTGATTTTATTTACTTCATTTCTTTTCAACAATATGTGCATATTTTTCTCTGTAGAACAAATTTAATTCATCATTTGAGTCATTAAAGTTGAACCAAAGAGCTCCCTTCACTAAACAGAATGAAGAGATATTTTAAATTGTTCAGTTCATGTATAAATAAATGTAAAAATAAATCATATCTGTATAAAATTAACTGCAGTATGTACTATAATATAACAATATTTCACAGCCGCCTATTGTTGCTAGTAGAATGAATATCCGCGCCAGACATTTCCACATAAATATTTTGTCTGTCTGCTTGATTCAGCATTTTAGTAAAGCATGATACCCCACGCTTCTCTGATATTTTCTAGTATATTTAATAATGCAGCAAATCTTAAGTAACACAAATACTATATTAAGTGCCTCTAGTTAAGTTGGAATTGCTCAAAGAAGATAGACAAAAGTCTTGATGAAATTGCTTCATGTATGTTTAGATTTTTTTAGTGTAAACTTTTTTCTAAGGTTTGTATCATGAATACAGATGTAATGCTTTATGAAAATTTAAGATTCATCATGGCGCATAGAAAAGATGGGATACTTTCATAAGGGAACCCTGCCAACTTGAAAAAAAAGCAACCTTCATAAGGATGTGAATATCTTTATTTCATCCCTTCTTAATTAATTAATCAGTGAGGCAGACAAAAATCAGACTTACATAAGGGGGCACATACACTCTAAAACTATATGCCCAAGAGAGGTATACAATTGAGAAGGTTAAGTTAATTAATTAACCTTTTAACTGTCAAGTTATTTTGATGATTTGAGTGCATAAATTGTCAATTTTTTTTATTTCAAAAATGAAATGTTTGCCTCGCAGTCAAAAAAAAATGCCACGCACTTTGAACTTTAACCTCTATCCTTTGAAACCTTCAGTAAAATGCTGCCATCTGTTGAACTGAGGCCGAAATAAACTTCTCACAATATATATTCGGGTATAACAATACGATGCACTCAAGAAAAAAATTAGCCTGAGTAGTACTTGGGTGTGACATTTTGGAATACCAGTCAAATGTCAGTTATGCAGTATGTACAAATTGTATGAGGGTCTGTCTGCTATTTGATTTCGGGCATGACAGTTAAAAGGTTAAGGCAAAACAATTCGAAGGCTATCTGCTTATGGGTAGGGAGGCCTTCGTGGAGAACCTTTTGCAGAAAACTGGCTGGTAGCCACATTACACATGGGGAAAACTACAAAAGCCAATCATGTACCCTACCTGTTCTCCGGGATTTGAATCCAGGTTGAACTACCAGTATTCAGTGACTTAACTATGCAGCCACTTTTAGGGTTCGCTTTCGAACAGGAATTTCTAGGGAAACTGGTGCATAGTTGCGTTAAATTTTGAGAAAACTATGAAAATCTAACCAACCACCCCATACGTCAAGACTGAATCCGAGTCGAGCTACCAGTGATTTTAGGGTATTGGAATAAATGTCATTGCAAGAGTGTAAATGTATTCAGTTTCATTAATATGTCTTTTTTTCGTTGTTGTCGCTCAATTTCCAAAGACTACAACTGACGTTTTCAGATATTTGTAAGATTTTTGTGAAGTAAGTAATGCAGTTATAATGATTACGTATAGCAACATAAAAGGAAATGTGTCTTTAAAATGTTTAAAAAGAATTAAGTTTGAATATAGAAAATTATTAACCATTAAGTTTTGAAATACGTTAAAAAGTACCATACATAGTTTTAATTATTAAAAATTTTCCCGTTATCGGTTTCCAAATCCCTCGCAGAAATATTCTCTGCATCTGTTTCTTCCTAAAAATGAGCTTTGTTAACATATTTAAGGGGAGGAACTCAAATTTACTCAATCAAAATCTGAATCAAAATCTTATTCAATCAAAAATTTTAGGAAGATACACATTCACCAACTACAGTAATTCCAGAAAATGTGGTTTAGTTTTTTAAAGCAGAAAAAAATCTTCATCATTATAATAACAAATCAGAATTTTTCAAAACAAGTCGAAAATAACTTTCATACTCTAAAATCGACATAGGTTAAATACTTTCGCCCAAAAAATTTCAAGTTAACAATGACTCCGTCTCTACCACCAGCTATTTTTAAGTTAATTAAAATGTCTGCTGTTTTCCAGAAAAAAGTAAAATTTATTCTGGGATGAAAATTACTTAAAACCCTTTAATTTTTTTTCCAAATGCTAATATGCTAATGTCACTAGTGTAGTAATTAATAACACACTCTCGGTGTTACCAAATTTTTCTCGCCAAACTGTTTAATATGATGCCTTCTATTTCAAACACGTGTGTTCAAACAAGTTTTTAAAAATGCTTGACATGCTACATGTTTTGGAACATCCCTGGTAGCTATGCATTGTATAACAGCCTACCACTAATCGTTACTTTGGGGCTACTCAAACCAAAGCGTCTTGCCATTACGATCTGAATGTTATGGAAGTAAGGTAAATTTTTTCTCATACTACTATGAAACTAAATACTGAGTAAAAAAGGTCCAATCTAGGTATTATACAGGGTATTCATAAAAGGTGACTGCAATCATTAAAGTCTGATTTTAGGTAGATACCTACAAAGTTGCTTAATGTAAGATAGAGCATTTTGTGAAAACAGTGTCATCGTCGTGTATGAGAGAGTTCTATTTTGAGGCTTTTGAGAAAAGATTTTGGAAGTACCTATAAAATGAAATCTACTTGTTTTAGAAATTAATGTTTAAATAGCATTCGATATTGAAACTGTAGTTGAACGTTTATTGAGTTTGGTACTTTCAGTAGAAGCCCGGAACTTTTCTTCCTCTCGTTCTTTAATCTTATATATACAAAATATAATACTGTGATGCTTTAAATATAACCTCCAATGTGAACTTTTTACCATTTAAAATTTTTTCTCTTCAGAAGCTATATCAAATGCTAGATTTTGTATTTATAATTTGCAAAGTAGTTTTCAGACACTCTGTGGATACCATTTGGAACTTTGTTTCATGCTATCTTTTGGTAGCAGATGCACAAATTTTCTCAATGCTGGGGGTGGTTTTTGAATGTTTTGTCCATGGATTTTATTTTCTTGTCTTTAATCCTTTTTGTCCCAGATTACTTCATTTTTTGAAAAAGGAGTTTGTAACTTTTTATTATGAGCAACTTATAACTTTACGCATTACATTATTACAACTTTATGCATGAGAAACATCTCGCATTAAACTTACAAAAATGTTATAAGTTTTTCACTGCCCTCTTTTTTTTTTTTTTTTTTTTTTTTTTTTTTTAATTGGGGCTTTTAAAGTCCAGTTGGGACATAATTGAGCAATTTTATTGATGGGAATTAAAAGTCCTGTAGGGTTAATTTATGTTTTAATGCTCTGTTTTCTTCTTTTCCTGAATGAGCTTACAATTTAACTTTTATATTTTAATTATTATGTGTTCTGATATCTATCAATCATGACCGTAAGTGGTTTCACATCAGAATTTGTTTCTAACTTCCAATTAACAGTAAATTTCAAGAGGTTAGTCTCTTTTCTTATACAAAGACATGATTCTTCCTGACTCTTTCCTGTCTGACTATATGGAACAAAATCTTTCGTGGATGTTTTCCCTTTTTATCTTTTTCGATTGATTTCAAATGTTTATCTGGACGCTGATGAAGCATTCACCACTTGACGGCACAAATAGGTTAGACACTAAGGGCTGTTATTTGAAAGTATTTGAGCATTGCTATTACTTACAGTTTCCGTCTGGAGAACATGAGTATGAAAATAGTTAACTGTCTGAAATGGATTTTGATGTGTTTGTCTTCAGTTTTCATTATGCCATCGTATTGACACATTGGTTATGTCTTCGATTTCCTTGTGGTTCATAGAATTCATTATACTAATTAATTGGAAGTATGGACGTATGCTAGCATTCGCTTAAGCACATCCAGTATGGCTGCTTTTGTGTTGCCACTAGGTGGGAGAATGTTTTTCTCAAAATAACTGTGCCTACTTCTGAATATAACTGCATGTGTGAAACAAATTTTAGAAATATTCATGCTTCATCATTGTTGTCTTATATATTTATATCTAATTATAGGCATCTGATGTAATTCAGCTTGGCATAGATTCGTAGAATTGCTTAATGAGTACATGGATTGTATGATGAAATAAAAGACATGCAAGCATATGAAAAATTTAAATGTTTAGTGAATGATCGTTTGTAAATATTTATAACATCATCAACTACACCAGATTGTTAGTTGTTTTAAGAAGTTTATTGTTATAGGTTATTATTTGTAATTTTACTCGGCAAGTTTTATTTTACTACAGACATTTTAAGTTCATCTGATGTTTTAATTAGTGGAGGGAGGGCGTGTCGATATTTGGTTGAACTGCTATAATGATCTATGCTGATTGAGACTCAGGTTTGCAATTGATTTTCATTGTTAAATAATTTTGTTCGTTTTGTTTTGTTTTGTTTTATTGCTTAGATTTTATTTAATTTTATGAGCAGAATTTATTTTTATTACTATTATTTTCTGTTTATTTAAGTTTTCACTTAGTTTTTTATTTATTTAGTTACATTTCATTCCTGATCGTGCATTGTGTTTCATGCTGATTGAGATTTTCAGATTTGCATTCCCCCCCTCCCCCAGTAAGTATTGTATTTATTTATTTTGTTTTATTTCAGTGTTGAGATTTTATTATGAATGTGTTCCATACATGAACAATTTCCATACATTAATAAGTGTTGAATCTGCTTAAAATTATCCAATTAACTATCCAATTAAAAAAAGGGAGCAGGTTGGAGTTTGAGTACGCAGACACAAATGTCAGTTATGCAGTATGTACAAATTGTATGAGGGTCTGTCTGCTATTTGTGGGTGAATCCTTCGGAATATTAGAGTGCCATTTAAATAGCATGCATTTGCTTTCTTAAGATATACATTCACGTAATTAACTGTCTGCAAAGTTTTGGCTTCTCCTTTTCCTGTAAGGCAATGAGTGTTGAAAGTAAGGAGAAGCGAAGGGAAATTGAAACTGCATCTGAAAGTGTTACTAGATAATTTAAACAAACATTTATAACATTAAAACATGTATTAGAACATCCTTAAATAGTTTAACTCTTTTTAACAATTTTACAATTTTAGTATTATATGTGAAAGAAATTTACATGTAGATATTTTCTCTCCTCATACTTACTTTCCTTTTCCCTTTCTTTGAATCAAGCGTAAGGCCTTCTAGTTGCTAGCTAAGTATGCCAACCACACACGATAAAGAGAAATGGGAAGAATACTTTTAATTCCTTACAGTCCTTGTTTATGTCTTTCACCCAAAAGCCGATCCCTCTATAACCCTTTTATTTTTAATCCAGTCGTAGTCCCCTCCCCATATTTTGTACGTCTCTCACAGATCTATTAATTAATTTAACAGTCGTCTATGAAATGTCCTCCTCCTGGTGTAAAACAGGCTGTTTTCTCACTTCTTTCACTCTTTCTGTACTTTTCAGCTTATTAATGCAACACACATTTAACAGGTAGCAAATTAGTACTAGGTCAGTTCCTTACTTTTGTGCAGTGAGTGAATAGTACAAGAGAAAGCTAATACAGTCAAAAGTTGTTAATTTGGACTCGTTGGGACTATAGATTATAGATCATCCGGATTATAGATCATCAGTTTAAATCTGGTAAGATGGCATGCAGAAATTATAAAATTAAAAATATGAAACCGTAATTTATGAAATAAAGAACAATCTGATCTAAAGGGTATCAAAATTTACAAAAAAAAAAAAAAAAGCTTAATATTTATTTGTTTACTTTATTAAACATTTCTTTCAATGTAAGTTGTTTAAGTTGCTTCGTTTTTTATGTGATAATACATTCTCTTTAATTCTATAAACAGGCATAATTTCTTGTTCAGTTACAAAGTTCCGCTGTTCAAGTTCTATAATTGCTGTGTCGAGAATACTGACTAATTTGTCAATCGAAATTTTTTCGTTTTCAATAACCTGTTACTTTCTTCGCTATCGGAAGCGAATTATAATGACGAGGAATTTGATTTAAATCATATCAAAGACGGAGTTACATCGAGATGAAATACTACATTTAGTAAGGAATTATAAGCCAAATAAAATAAAAACATCTGCCCTGAAGATAAGGATAGTGCTGACAGATAAATTTCCAATTCATTGCCTGCCGCGGCGTTAAAGATAAACAAAGTTTAGATAAACAAAGGATATGCCTTTATCCATTTTTTGCAGCAATTCCACTTTTTGTTTCGAAACATACTTTCGCTTTGTAGATCCTTTACATATTAGTAAATATATATCAGAAATTCTATTTGACATAATCGAAAGTTCAAGCTTACTTTTATAAAATTGCTCTAACAGTCTGCAAAAAATTATAAGCCAAATCCAATTCGAAGATTAAGGAACAACGCAATCTGCAACATTAACTGAATTAGATAATTTTAGCTTAGCTTATACTGCCGTTATACATTAAACGCGCATTCGTAAACGTATTTTGCGCACGTGCACGCGCATATTCACAGCCGTAAAGATCTTACGCGACGCTGACGCATGCGCAGAAAGTTTGTAGCTTTGAGGTCCGGATTATAGATCATTCCGGATTATGGGTGTCCGAATTAACGACTTTTGACTGTATATGGCGTTTTTTGCTTTCATTTTGGTGTCCATTTATATATTTATTTATTTTTAATGCATTAGTCCTGTTAGAAACTTATAATAGTCTGATACCTGTATAGAGTCTTTGCCAATTACAATTTGGCTTTCCCTGTACTTAATTTGAAAATTTTCTGATGCATTACTTACACCTTTATCTCTCTATAATATAGATTAACTAATTGCAATTTACTTATCATTGAATTCTTTTATTTAGAAAATTAGTAATATTTTAATAATTACTTTCTGCTAATATTAAGTGCTCAGATAGAAATTGAAATAGTAGTTGTGTATTTATAATTTCTGTAGAGGTTGCAATGTAAGACACTGTATTAGTGAAAGTATAACTTGACTTACCTGTTTGTTTAGTATCTTTATGCATGCTTAATATTTGTGCACACGAAGATTTTCTTGTAACCAACCCGATGTCTTCAAACGTAAACCAGTGCTTTGTGTTATCCCACATTGTAGCTCCTTATATTCAAAAGCTCTTGATTATTAGAGAATCGCTGGTCCTATTTCTTGGTACATTCTGACCCTGTATTCTTTAGCTTTTCAGCAACCATTTGTTTCAGTAGCCTTTGCTTAATTTGAATGATTTTGTGAGTCTTTGTTTATAACATAAACAAAAAGAGCATCTTCAGCTCAGTACTGATCAGCAAAATCACATGATAAAGTTTTATTTCTCATGTATAACCATGCCCATTTTTTATTATAACACATACCGATTATTAAACTGTAATCTACAAATTTTTAAAGCTTTTATCTCTAGTTTGTATGTTTCCCTTTAATAACATTTTATATGCAAGTTACACACATTTTAAAAGTTGTTTATTAGTAATTTCTTTATTCTCTTAACAAAATTTTGAAACACTGAACTTATAGTGTGCTATTTTCAAATTAAACTGCTTTATTGTTTTTGTACATTTGATTGTGACTATTTTGTGAAATCAGTTTTTAAGGATTTGTTCTGCCTGGGAATCAAGCCCAGGTGCAGAAATTATATACTGGCTCTATATTAAAGAATTTATTGCATATATTCTTTTAGCACTCATATCTCTTTGAAGAATCTTTGGCCAAAAGCACCTGTATTATATTCCAGACTTTTTTTTAAAAAAACGGCATGCTAATATCCCGTGACTATTATTGCTAGTAAAGCATCCGCCTGCTATTCATGCAGTGCAGAAATAAAAACTTTTAATAAAATTATAAATACTGATATGATTTTGAAACACTTCTTATTTGTTGAAGAGATAATTTATCCTTGTTTTATTCTTATTAGCACTAAAGTTACTTGGAAAGTTCTAATATTTGTTGCATAGTTGATTGTGATTGTGGTGAAATATGTGAAGAGTGTAACTTTAGAATAGATCCTTGTAGGTTCATCACTTAAGGGCAGATATATTAACAGTATTATATGGAAAACAGACATCTGAGAGAACATGAGTACAACAAATGATAACGAGTTTCCTCTTTCTGAAACCAAACTCTAATGTTAATTTTTTTATTCCAAACTCTTTTATTGTGCCACTTTAGCAAAAAGAAAATCACAATGCGAAAAGTCTGGCAGATGGCTCTTCAGTATTACAAATGATGTCACCACACACACACCATTTCCCATGATAACACTACACTTCATAGTCTTTCAGATATGCAGGAAATCTTACTCTTCGACCAGTTTTTTTTTTTTTTTTTTTCCCAATGCTAAGTGTCTTTGAAAGGATTATTGTTACTAGAAAGCGGTTTTGAGATTTTGGAGTTACCATCTTCCGATGTCTGAAGATTTTTTTTACCTCATTTTTGAGTTTAAAACAGTTTCAATCTGTCTATTAATATTATTTTAATTTTATCTGAAACTAGAGCATCAAAAAATTTCTCGAAACATTGTTTAACTAAATATCGTCCAAGATAGGTTGGTTGAAGTGAAGATGAAATTATGTTATTAAAGGCAAATACATATGAACAATTTGCTTAGTCCTCATGTACGAAAACTGATTTTTTTCCATGGCTGGTTTTGGAGCTGTTTTTAGATTTTGATTGTGACTTTTGAATATTTGTATAAAATCTGAATGCATGAATGGAATTTGGGGATTTACTGAAAACTTCTTCAGGCAAACAAATTCGTGTACCATACGCAAGTTCAGCAGAAAAACAATGCAAATTTTTAATGGTGGATAAATGCCAAGAAGATTGTCAGTCCGAGAATTTGACATTTGAAGCTGGGATTTCAGGCTGTTTTTCAAATTTCAATGTTGGCGTTCGATTAAATCATTAGAATTGTGGGTTGGTGTGGTGGTGTTAGTTTTGAAACCTAGGTATTTGCTCAAGGATTGGAAGAGTTGGCTTTCAGACTGTCAACCTCTGTCTGATGTTATCTTTTCTCATATTCCAAAACTAGAAATCCAAAGCACAACAAGGGTATTTGCGATGGGATCTGCAGGTTGGTCTTCTAAAGAACGGCTTCAATCCATCGAGTGAATCTATTGATAGTAAACACATACCTAAAAATCTTTGCAAGATGGTAAAGGGCCAGCAATATCGATGTTAAGGTGCTTGAAACATTGATGTGGAACTTTGAATTCAGCAGCTGGACGATGGGTATGTTTGTGAACTTTGGCTCATTGGCATGCCAAGCATGTTCTAGTCCACGGTTGACAGTCTTTGTTTATGACAGGAAAATTGAATAGTTTTATCACCATCTTCATTGTTACACGAATTCCAGGATGCGGTAAGTTATGTATAGAGAAAAACATTCTTTCGCAGAATTTTTTAAGAATGTATGACGGGGTAAAATTGAAGGAGGTATCACAGTAAGTTTTCTTATTGCTATCCAGGATAGAAATTTATACTATTTTGAATCTAAAATTTGATTTAAGGATCCTGAGATCTTCATGCTCCTGGCAATCTGAAATAACTATAATCAATTAGAGCTGGAATAGCAATACTTTCAGTTCTCGACAGTGTGTCTGCACAAC